GAGCTGCGCAACTATCTTGGCTTGCAGATCACCCGGGACAGAGCACGCTGCACCATTACCCTGACTCAGTCACACATGGTGCAGCAGGTCCTTCAGCGCTTCGACTTCCAGTACTCCTCACCACAGTCCACTCCTCTGCCTACCGGTCACTTGCTCTCAGCTCCACCTTCGGACGAGTCCGTAGAGCCGAGTGGCCCATATCCAGAGCTTGTGGGCTGCCTCATGTACCTGATGACCTGCACTTGACCTGACCTTGCATACCCTCTTAGCATCGTGGCTCGCTATGTTTCACCTGGGAGACACAGGCGAGATTCTCACTGGGAGGCTGCTAAGAGGGTGCTGCACTACTTGTGCAGTACATCAGGCATGAAGCTGGTGCTTGGAGGACAGGGTCGAGTTGTCCTCACTGGACACTCAGACGCCTCTTGGGTTGACGACCTGGCTATGCAGCGGTCGTCTCAGGGTTACACCTTCAGCCTTGGTTCCGGCTCTGTTTCTTGGCGGTCTACCCGCTCTTCTTCTGTTCTCAGCTCCAGTTGTGAGGCTGAGATCTACGCAGGAGCCATGGCTGCACAGGAGTTACGCTGGCTCACCTACCTGCTGACTGACTTGGGAGAGCGGCCTAGTTCTCCTCCAGTTCTGTACGTAGACAACAAGGCTGCTGTTGCCTTGTGTCAGGAGCACAGACTGGAGCACAGAACGAAGCACATCGCTATGCTACTTTCTGGCTCGAGAGTTGCAGCAGCGTGGCCAGCTTCGTCTTGCTTACGTGGCCACCCGGGCCAACACAGCTGATATATTCACCAAGGCACTTCCGCCTGGTGATCATCAGCGTCTGTGTACTGCTTTAGGCCTTGTGCCTACGTTTGCTCACTTGCTCACTGTGTGACCTTACTTGGATTGTGATCTCTATATATATACCTGCATGCTTTCACTTGCTAGGTTGTGATCACTGTACTGTTTGCTTTATATAACGCTGCATGTGAGCTTGCTTTGCTTTTTCTGTGACTGCTTGTACTCCCCCACTTTGCCTATGGGGGTGTGTCAGAACATTGTGCTGTGTAGGCTGTAGTGGGGTAGCCAATATGGGGTACAACCCAATTAGGGTTAGTACTTGTACCAACTTTCTCATCAATGCATTCATTCCTGCTACTAGTTTCTAACACCGACGATCACAACCTTGCAAACATGAATCACTTAGCACTACACCTCGAAACAGGCAACGATAGCACGAGAACTAAGACAAACGGATGACAATAATTGCGAATGCTACGAAGCGCATACTAAATGCATCAATGCTGCAATTGAGATTGATATGGTACGGAAGATGCGAGCAAAGCTGGCCCACCGACAATCACAACCCCACTTGCATACACGAGGCACTTAGCACCACAATTTGAAGCAGACACATGTTGAAAACAATATAGTTCGTGCTTCTGATGTGTCAAGCACCACAGCGTAAACGAATAAACTACAGCGAAGCAACAGCGAGTCAACCAAAACTACAATGAAGCGATTGACAAGAAAAGCAACAGCAAGAGGTTGAGCGAAGGTCAAAGGTCAGCGACCTTTGACTCGCTGAAATGCAGCGCGACAGCAAGGACACACAACTGACTCGTTATTGAGCAGTTGCCCGAGTCGTCGCTGTATCGAATCCCAACAGCAGCTATAACAACAGCTAGTTAAACCTTTCATATTCCCTATAAACATTTAAAAGGCTTTGTATTTCCTTGCTATAATCAACTTATCTTGTCCTCACATACTAGCACAAGGTGGTTCAACCAGTTCACATGAACGCCGCAATTACATCAGCATCCTAAGTCTTAGTCTTGAAAACGATCCTAAGGGCTTTTCTCAGCCCAACAACACATAACACTGACACAGGTATGTCAAATTGTTATAATGTTTATATTCTGTAGGCTGCAGTGGGGTAGCCCATAAGGGGTACAACCCAATTAGGGTTAGTACTTGTACCAACTTTCTGTTCAATGCATTCATTCTCGTTCAGTCTCTTATTTTGACATGGTTTCAGAGCAGGTCCTGTTCCGGGACCGCTTTTTTCCTAGGGCCCACCGATTCGTTAGCTGCCCGTAGCACCCTACCCCACCAGTCGCGCTGCCCTGCCCTGCCCTGACAGTCGCGCCGCCCTGCTGGCCGTGCGCTGCCCTGCCCTGCCTGTCGTGCTGCCCTGCTGGCCGCGCACTGCATTGCCCTGCTCGCGCGCCGCCGTTTCCTGCCTGCACGCTGCCCTTTACTACCCACGCGCCGCCCTGCTGGCCGCGTGCCGTCCTTACAGCCCGCGCGCCGCCCTCTGCAGCCCGCGCGCCGCCCATTGCAGCACGCCCGCCGCCCTGCACAGCCCGCGCGCCGCCCTCTGCAGCCCGCGCGCCGCCCTCTGCAGCCCGCGCGCCGCCCTTGCAGCCCGCGCGCCGCCCTTTGCAGCCGCGCGCCGCCCCGCTGGCCGCGCGCCGGCCCTGCCTGCCCACGCGCAGCCCTTTGCAGCCCACGCGCCGCCCTTTGCAGCCCGCGCAGCCTCGCTTGACGCGCGCCGCCCCTGCTTGCCCGCGCGCCGCCCTTTTGCAGCCCACGCGTTGCCCCGCTGGCCGCGCGCTGCCCTTGCCTGCCCATGTGCCGCCCTTCCCAACCCGCTCGCTGCCATTTCTGCCCGCGCGCCGCCCTGCCCTGCCCGCGAGCCGCCCTGCAGCCTGCCTGTGCGCCGCCCTGCTAACCGCGTGCCAACCTGCCCTGCCTGCAAGCCTCTCTGCGCTGCACTGCTCTTCCAGCTATGGCTACTCTCAGCGCACTCACATTCGATCCAGAGGGTTGCCCGATATAGTTCGATACCTGGCTCGATGACTTACAGCTGTATCTACTGAGCTATTCTAAAGATGGTGTCTCACTGTTTGACCACACGTCTGGTTCCTCTCTCGCTCCTCCCGACAACGCTGACAGTCTTACTCGCTCACAGTGGCTTACCCGTGACGCTGCTGCTCGCCTTGCCATTCGCAAGCACCTGTCGTTAGCCGAACGCGCTCACTTCGGCCAGCACAAGACTGCTAAGGCCCTGTACGACGCTATAGTCGCTCGTTACTCTTCCCCTGCCACTACTGCTCTCGGCCCTTATACTGCCCTACCTGTTTCTCGAGTTGTCCTCCTTTGCCACAGTTGAGGACCTCATCACCCACCTTCGCAGTAGCGACATTCGATACCGTGCCGCCCTCCGAGCCGAGTACTTAGACAAGAACCCGCCCCCGATGTACATCACGCTCTACTTCATAGTCACCCGCCTCCCTGACTCTCTTCGCGCAGTCAGGGACCACTTTCTCGCCCTTGACCCCACAGACCTCACTGTCGGCCTGCTCGAGCTCCTCCTTGCAGCTGAGACTAGCATAGTCGCTGTAGGTGCTGCTCGTGGCACTCCCTTCTTTGAGGGGTGTTCCCCCTCCCCCCTTGGCCCCTCTGTAGCTTCTACTGCTGCTGTTGACTTCCTTCGTGCTGAGGAGGTCGGGGCTGCGTCTGCTCCTAGAGGGAGGCGCCTCAGCGGCGAGGGTAAGGGAGGCACGAGTGGTGGGGGTGGCGGCAGTGGAGGCGGTGGTCGAGGCGGTGGAGGTGGTGGTGGTGGCGGTGGTAGTGGTGGGAGTCGTGGTGGGGATGGAGGCGTCAGTGGCAGCGGTGGTGGTAGTGGTGGGAGTGGTGGCGGTGGTGGTGGCAGCAGTGGGCGTGGTGGCGGCGGTAGTGGTGGCGGTCGGGGTGGAGTGGTCCAGAGGGGAGGTTTTGACGGAGGCCAGAGGCAGCAGCAGCAGCGTCCGCGCAAGACCCAAACGCCCCAGCAGCTGCGTGAGTGGTTTGCTCGGCGCACCCGCCTTCGGAGTGGCGCTGTTAGTACTGGGGCTGTTAGTGCTGAGGGTGACTGTTACCTGTGTTTGCCACCCGACCCAGGTATAGAGGCTGCTGCCCTAGGTGCTAGTGAGTCTGCTCCCTCTGGTACTGCGCCTGCTGAGGCCTTGCACACCTTCACGCTTGACTCGACTGCTTCCCGCTGTTTCTTTCACGACAGTACCACAGTCACACCACTCCCTGCACCCGTTGCAGTCTCACTGGCTGACCCCTCTGGGGGCCCGGTTCTTGCACGTTCCTCCACTGTTCTCCCGTGTCCAGCGGTTCCGTCTGGCTCACTGTCAGGTCTCCACCTCCCCTCGTTCTCGACGAACTTGGTGAGCAACGCGATCCTTCAGGATGAGTGGGTTGATACCTTTACCCCTGGAGGCCAGCGTGTGGCGATCTGCACGTGCTCTCGGACTGGCCGTCACCTGGCCACGTTCACCCGTCGGCCTGGGTCGAGTCTGTACACCCTGACTACTGCGTCTCCTTAGGTGGCTGCGTCTGCTCACGTGTCCGCGTCAGGTCAAGTAGCAACCCCCTGCTCGTGTCGCCTCCTGTCGCACCAGACTCTCCTTTGGCACCACCGCCTTGGTCACCCCTCCCTGCCACGCCTCCGTGGCATGCACTCCCGCCTCCTTGTCTTTGGCCTTCCTAGGTCTCTGCCTGCCCTCCCTCCCTCGCCTGCGCCACCCTGCCTTCCTTGCGTCGAGGGGCGGCAGCGCGCCACTCCTCACTCCTCCTCGTTTCCCCCGACGATTGCTCCCATGCAGACTCTCTATATGGATGTGTGGGGCCCAGCCTGTGTCTGTGGACAGGATTAGGAGCGGTACTTTCTGCTGGTTGTTGACGACTACTCGTGTTACACCACGGTCTTCCCCTTGCGTAGCAAGGGGGAGGTCCCTGATGTCTTGATCCCTTGGATCCGCGCTGTTCGTCTCCAGCTCTGCGAGCGGTTCCGCACGGACCTTCCCGTCCTGCATCTGCACTCTGACAGAGGTGGTGAGTTCTCCTCCGACCTCTTGCGGGACTTTTGTCGTGGGGAGGGCATCCTCCAGTCGTTCACGCTTCCGGCCTCCCCGCAGCAGAATGGGATTGCTGAGCGCTGCATTGGCTTAGTCATGGAGGTGGCTCGTACCTCCATGATCCATGCGGCTGCTCTCCATTTTTTGTGGTTGTTTGTGGTCCGGTACGCTGCGAATCAGCTCAACCTCTGGCCCCGTGTCTCCTTGCCAGAGACCTCGCCTACACTGCATTGGACGGGGGAGGTTGGCGATGCGTCGGTGTTCCGGGTCTGGGGCGCTCGTGCCCTTGTGCGCGATACCTCCGCGGACAAGCTCTCCTCCCGCGCCATTCCCAACGTCTTCCTTGGCTTTCCCACTGACGCGCCTGGCTGGCAGTTTTACCACCCCACCTTGCGCCGTGTTCTGTCCTCTCAGGACGTCACGTTTGACGAGTCAGTTCCCTTTTACCGTCTCTTCCCCTTCTGCACTGCCCCTCTCCCCCCCCCCCGCCGCTCTTCCTCGCTCCAGGTCCCCCTCCGGTAGACCCCCTCCCCCCTCAAGGTCCTGCTCCTTCAGGTGTGTCTCAGGTAGACCCACTCCCCTTGGTTGAGCCTGTCGAGGTCATTGGCGACTCTGGTGCTGCTGGGGTTGGTGCTGCTCGGGGTGCTGCGTCTGGGGGTGCTGAGCCTGCGGGTGCGGAGCCTGGGGGTGCTGAGCCTGAGCGTGTGGAGCCTGGGGGTGCTGAGCCTGCGGGTGCGGAGCCTGGGGGTGCTGAGCCTGCGGGTATGGAGCCTGGGGGTGCAGAACTTGGGGGTGCTGAGCTTGCGGGTGCGGAGTCTGGGGGTGCTGAGTCTGGGGGTGCTGAGCCTAGGGGTGCTGCGTCTGCTGGAGGTCCTACGGGTGCCTCGCCGCAGCGGTCTAGCCGGCAGGATCCTCTCTCACCACAGCAGCTGCGCGAGTGGTTTGCTTGGCGCACCCACCTTCGGAGTGGCGCTACTGGAGCTGGAGGCCTTGTCGCTGGAGGCGCTGGCGCTGGAGACACTGGAGCTGGAGACACTGGAGCTGGAGGCGCTGGATCTGGAGGTGCTGGAGTTGGAGGTGCTAGAGCTGGAGGCACTGGAGCTGGAGGCGCTGGAGCTGGAGGCGCTGGAGCTGGAGGCACTGGAGATGGAGGCGCTGGAGCTTGAGGCACTGGAGCTGGAGGCGTTAGAGCTTGAGGTGCTGGAGGTGGAGGTGCTGGAGCTAGAGGTGCTGGAGCTGAAGGCACTAGCGCTGGAGGCGCTGGAGCTGGAGGCGCTAGAGCTGGAGGTGTTGGAGATGGAGGCACTAGAGCTGGAGGCGCTGGAGCTGGAGGCGCTGGAGCCAGAGGCGTTGGAGCTGGCGTTGTTGGCGCTGGAGGCCCCAGAGCTGGAGGTACTGGTGCTGTGGCACTGTACAGCAGCGACCGTTTTTCTTACCGCCGCCGCAGCTGTCCCCGCTACCGCCTGACTCGGTGCTCCGTCAGGTTCTTAGTCTTCCTTCGTCCACTGCCCTTCCTCCAGACTCACCGCTGCCTGCCCCCCCTCGTTGCACAAAGCAGCCAGCCTCCCTTACCGAGCGTTGTGAGCCTGCGTCCTGTCCTGCCTCCCCTGTTCGCACTGTTCGTCGTGCTCGTCGTGTTCCCCGTCCTCGTCCTCCACCTGTCCCCGGCACGCACAGTATGGCACTACGTCCTTCCTCTATTCCACAGCGCGTTCCCCTGCCGTCTCCTCCGGCGTCCTCTCTTCCTGACGTTCCGGACCCTGAGTCTGACACGTCTCTTGGCCACTGTTGTCACTGTCCCTTCTTTTGAGTCCACTGCTACGTCTGCCTTAGTTGCTGAGCTTGTTGACTTTGCTGCTGCGTGTCGTCTAGACTACGTCGCTTGTCTTGTTGCTGAGTCTGAGTCTGTCTGTCCTCCGTCCGTTGGGGGTGAGTGTGCTCTTGGCACGAACGTCCTTGAGGATAGGCAGGAGGACTTTGAGTGTCTTGCGGCTGCTGTACCTCATCTTGTGGCCATGTTGCTTGCACCTGAGGGAGACCCGGATGCACTGGACATCCCGACCCCGCGCTCTTACACAGAGGCGATCTCGGGTCCCTACTCCTCTTAGTGGCAGACAGCCATGGACGCAGAGATGGCATCCTGGAAGTCCACAGGCACTTACGTTGACGCAGTTCCCCCTCCTGGGGCGAACATAGTCGATGGCATGTGGATTTTCAGGGTGAAGCGGCCCCTGTCTTCAAGGCTCGTTACGTTGCACGAGGCTTTAGTCAGCGACAAGGAGCTCTATTCTGCAGGCCAGAGGCAGGAGGTGGGGTAGGAGTGGTCCCGGGAGAACCATTAGAGGAACTCCTCTCCTTGTATGTTGCCATGTCTTGTGATGTGTTGATAGTAGTCGAATTTCCCCTGATAGCTCTCATACCATGTTGGGCTGAGAAAAGCCCTTAGGATCTTTTGCAGGGGTAAATTCGGGGTAGGACTATTGTAATAGCGGAAGCGTTTAATGAAGACTTGTGAACCACCTTGCACTAGTGTGTGAGAGCAAAGTAAGTTGATTATAACAAAGAGATACAAGAATATATAGTAGTACGAAAGGATACGATTGTAACTAATTTGCTGTTGCGGTTCGATACAGTACGACTCGGGCAACTGCTCTGTAACGAGTCAGTTGTGTGTCCTTAACTGTCGCGCTGTACTTGTCAGGTCAAAGGTCGCTTGACCTTCGCGTAACCTCCAGCAACCTCTTTCAACCTCCGAGGGTTGACTCGCGTGTACTTCAATATAGTTCGCTTCGCTTCTGGTGCGGTGTTTCGACACGACAGAGGCGCTTAGGATTTATTGTTTCCAACAGTCCACACCCCATCTCCTCCACACCCCATCCCCTCCACACCCCATCTCCTCCTCACCCCATCTCCTCCTCACCCCATCTCCTCCTCACCCCATCTCTTCCTCACCCCTCATCCCTTGTGCTTTTCTGCACCAAGGAGCTGCTTGGGGCGCGGTGGACAGATGGCGGCGGGCAGGGTAGCGCAGCAGAGGCGGACGTGGTGCTGCTGGAGTCCCTTCCCCCCCTCCTCCTCTCTCCCTCCCTGCATCCCTCACATTACCTGCATCCTCCCTCCCTCCCTGCATCCATCCCTCGCTGCGTCTGCTCCTCCCTTCCTCCTCCCTACGTCCCTTCCTCGGTTCTTCCCTCCCTATGTTCCTCCCTTCGACTGGTCGTCTTTCTGTTTGTCTCCTACCATAATAATAATCCACAAATGTCTCTTTTTTTCTTCCTCTTTGCAGGTTCTTGCTTGTCAGTTGTCATTCTTTTGAATGCTCACCGGCTGCTTCAGCCATGAGTATCTGATAATCTGATTTTCACAATCGTGTTTGTGCAAGTCTCCCCCTCCCCCGTATGCATTTGGTTCTGAAATGTGGATTGTTTGGTAGTACTAAAGGTTTGATAAATACAGTAGGCATGCCAATGTTGGATGTTTATTATTACATACTAGATTTTGATCCTCAGAGCAGAGCAGTTTGACCATTGACCTCCTAAAAAGTGCAACAATCTAGTAAAAAAGAGCAAAAGTCAATGCAGTGACTGTTCCCACTCTTGTCTGCAAACACATCAGAAAAAACCAGGACTTGCGGTGACACACCCCACACCTGGTGTTGGTGCTGGGCACCTGTACACTGCATGAGGGGTGACTGGGGTGAGTGAAGGGGGAAACACAGTAGCCAGGGGTCGAATAAGGGAATGAGCAGCAGGAAACAGAATGAGAAAGGAAAAACAGAGTGCAGGGGATGGGGGAGAGCAGAAGGGAAGAAATTGAGCAGGGAGAAATAGAGTGAGCAGGGGGGAAGAGAGTGAGCAGGGAGGAAGAGAGTGAGGAGGGGGGAAGAGAGCAGGGGGAAAGGACAGTGAGCAGGGGGAAAGGACAGTGAGCAGGGGGAAAGGACAGTGAGCAGGGGGAAAGGACAGTGAGCAGGGGGGAAAGGAGTGAGCAGGGGGGAAGAGAGTGAGGGGGGAAGTGAGCAGGGGGAAAGACAGTGAGCAGGGGGGAAAAGAGTGAGCAGGGGGGGGAAGAGAGTGAGCAAGGGGGAAGAGAGTGAGGATGGGGGAAACATAGTGAGCAGGGGGAAACATAGTGAGCAGGGGGAAACATAGTGAGCAGGGGGAAACATAGTGAGCAGGGGGGGAAGAGAGTGAGCAGGGCGGAAATGGGATGCGAGAAGGGGGATTCAGAGTGACCGGGGGGGCATCTAAAAGACAATAGATGAGGGAAAAAGGAGTGTGAGCACGGGGAAAATGAGATAAGGGATGGGGAGATGAGGGATAAGGAGGCGAGGCATGGGGAGATGATGGATGGGGAGGTGAGGGATGGGGAGGTGAGGGATGGGGAGGTGAGGGATGGGGAGGTGAGGGATGGGGAGGTGAGGGATGGGGAGATGAGGGATGGGGAGGTGAGGGATGGGGAGGTGAGGGATGGGGAGGTGAGGGATGGGGAGGTGAGGGATGGGGAGGTGAGGGATGGGGAGATGAGGGATGGGGAGGTGAGGGATGGGGAGGTGAGGGATGGGGAGGTGAGGGATGGGGAGGTGAGGGATGGGGTAGGCGCCGCGATGGGCTTAGGGCATTCTGGAGGGCATTGTGCTGGCGCTGTGGACGGGAGCGTGAGGGCGCTGGGGTAGAGAATGTGAGGGCGCTGGGGATGGGTCGTTACCTGGAAATGGGATGAGTGTGAGGGAATGCGATGACGCCGGGGTAGGGAGTGTGAGAGCGCTGTGGGAGAGAATATGAGAGCGCTGTGGGAGAGAGTATGAGAGCGCTGTGGGAGAGAATATGAGAGCGCTGTGGGAGAGAATATGAGAGCGCTGTGGGAGAGAATACTATGAGAGCGCCGCGCTCTTTTGTGGAAAGGCAATAGCTAAGAGGCATCGTGCCTGTGAGACCGATTAGGAAAGGTGAGAAGCTGACCTTTAACGGGAGACAGTGCTGTGTGGTGCAGACGACGGGAAGGATCACAGGGAAGTCGGCGGAAATGAGATGTGGGGTCGACGGGAAAGGGTAAGGCGGCCGACGAGAAGGGAATCTGCAGTCGACGGGCTGGCGAAATTTAGGCGATGGGTTCGCCTATAGCTGGCGCATCGAAGAGGAAATGCGACGGAATCGACGCGGAAATGTGGGTGAAGCGAAGGGGAAATGCGGGCGGGTCGAACGGGACCTGCATGTGACGGGTAGGGGATATTAGCGCTACGGAAATGGCACGCTCACGCGACGAAAATGCTAAATGCGGGCGTCGCCGTGTATCGGAACTGCACGCGCTGTAACCCTAAAATTGTGGGCGACGGGGCTTGAACTTGCGTGCGATGTATAGGGGAAACGCGGCTGGTATGCCGTCGTTTTGGTCGCATGGTGACGTTTTCCTACTTGAAGTCTAACTATTAGCTTCTAACCTGGTGTGAGGTATGTCGAGGTGCTTGTGTTCACTCTTATATAGCATATGCAGGCACATTCCCGTCCCGAGTCATTTGCTTGGTGCGACACCAGGTTGTCGCACTTTGTTTTCGCTAGGGTGCAACTTTCGTTAAACTTCCGAACCTCAGTTGCTTGAACCCCAACCCAACCCAAACCTAGCGTTGACTCGCTTTTGTAATTCAGGCTGCGGGTTTTAAGGTTCTGTTTTTGAACGCAGCTTTCCATCCACCGTTTTGCCAGGAGCTTACATAAGAGTGTTAGTTACGACCCAAACCCAGTTTTGGACTCAAATAATTTAAGTGGCTCACGTAATCTCTTCGCAACTCCGAATTGGTCCTGATTTTGGGGCGTTTTTCTGATTTCGGGAAGATTACGCCAATTTCGTCTCATGTGTAGTACGTGGAGATTAGCTTAGCTCGTTAGACGGCACATTTCGCCATACTGTCTCGAGCAAGCACAGGCATTCGTGCGAGGATTCCATATGCCTTGTGCTCCGCAGCACTCTGTCCGTCGCTGTTGCGATAACTGCTTCGCTAGGATGCCGCATAAGCCATATGATGCCCACAGATCCGTTACTTGGAACGGAAATCTCCAGCCCGCAAACTCGAAAATAGTTTCCGTCTGAATTCCACGCTTTTACATTTCGCTCGCTTCTCGCTCGTCGTGTTTTCATCAGCAGCAGCAGGGTGAGCAGCAGCGGGAGGGGGAGGAGGGGAGGAGGATGCACAAGGGGGGAAAGCAGTTCCTGCTGCAATGTAATGAGGGGAAGCACAATGGGGGGAAGCACAATGGGGGGAAGCACAATGGGGGGAAGCACAATGGGGGGAAGCACAATGGGGGGAAGCACAATGGGGGGAAGCACAATGGGGGGAAGCACAATGGGGGGAAGCACAATGGGGGGAAGCACAATGGGGGGAAGCACAATGGGGGGAAGCACAATGGGGGGAAGCACAATGGGGGGAAGCACAATGGGGGGAAGCACAATGGGGGGAAGCACAATGGGGGGAAGCACAATGGGGGGAAGCACAATGGGGGGAAGCACAATGGGGGGAAGCACAATGGGGGGAAGCACAATGGGGGGAAGCACAATGGGGGGAAGCACAATGGGGGGAAGCACAATGGGGGGAAGCACAATGGGGGGAAGCACAATGGGGGGAAGCACAATGGGGGGAAGCACAATGGGGGGAAGCACAATGGGGGGAAGCACAATGGGGGGAAGCACAATGGGGGGAAGCACAATGGGGGGAAGCACAATGGGGGGAAGCACAATGGGGGGAAGCACAATGGGGGGAAGCACAATGGGGGGAAGCACAATGGGGGGAAGCACAATGGGGGGAAGCACAATGGGGGGAAGCACAATGGGGGGAAGCACAATGGGGGGAAGCACAATGGGGGGAAGCACAATGGGGGGAAGCACAATGGCTGTGGCGTCAGAGCGTGAGTGGTAAATCAAGGAGGGCTCTTCCAGGTGCTCCGAGGAAGATATCCGCCCAACACCACGTGTGCAGGTAGGTGCAGCCACGTGTGCAGGTAGGTGCAGCCACGTGTGCAGGTAGGTGCAGCCACGTGTGCAGGTAGGTGCAGCCACGTGTGCAGGTAGATGCAGCCACGTGTGCAGGTAGATGCAGCGACGTGTGCAGGTAGATGCAGCCACGTGTGCAGGTCGATGCAGCCACGTGTGCCGGTAGGTGCAGCCACGTGTGCTGGTAGATGTATCCCTGATTGCCTTGTGCAGTCGAGTTGTGACTCGCAATTGATTCTGGTTCACCTTTTCACCTATGCTATCAAACCTTCTCATACCTAATCAGACTTATTCGAACCTATTTGCACCGAATTCACACATATCCACGTTTACTCACACACACCTGTTTGTTGCCTGTGGGCATGCTATTCCATGCCTGGCTGCCTCGTGCCATGTGTCACATCACATTCCCACACATGTGACACTCACTGCCACTGGCAGGGTCACGTTTGTGAAGCATTGTGCCGCAGTGTCTCTAAAGGCTCCCCATGCAACACCGGAATGCTGCCACCCACCTTCCCTTCTTGTTACGCCCCGCCCTCCCTTTCACGCTCTCTGCCTTCTCACCTTCCCTTCTTGTTACGCCCCGCCCTCCCTTTCACGCTCTCTGCCTTCTCACCTTCCCTTCTTGTTACGCCCCGCCCTCCCTTTCACGCTCTCTGCCTTCTCACCTTCCCTTCTTGTTACGCCCCGCCCTCCCTTTCACGCTCTCTGCCTTCTCACCTTCCAGCCTGCCTCACACAACAACATGGCATGCCTGCGTGCCTAGCACAGCCGTATGACATGCCACCTGCCCCCCCCCCCTCCATGCACACAGCCTGCGGCACCAACGCTCAAATGCGTGCTGCACGTCGCATCCTTTGCTTGCTTCTTCTGTTTGCTTCTGTTCTTGCCTCCCACTTAGCAAACACTTCAGGCTCTTAAGTGCACCAAACATCCTATTCCCGCCGCCGCGACTACCTCGTCGCCGCCTGCCCTTCCCGCCGCCGCCATTATCCTTGCTTCCCACAAGGGTAAAGCCATTCTTTTTCTCTCCGCGCTAGGCGCTGTGGCGTGGCCCCTTGTTCCTCTCCGCTCTCCTCTTCTCCACCCTCGTTTCCTTTCCCCTTTCTGCCTCCCGCTTTGCCACGCAAACCCAACCAACCCGTCCTCCCTCCCCGTGTGTCCTCGCTGATCTGAACCGCTCTTCACTCTCATGCTCTTTGACTGATACTGAGGGAGAAACCTCAAGGCGGGTGTGACTATAAAGGGGGGGAATGATGTGATCTGAGCCATGTGTATTGGCTGTGCTGTGCAGAGCGGCACCTTGTGTTGGGCTGAAGCACATGGGAGGTCCAGCAGCAGCAGCATGTGTGAGAGGCCTGCTGTTGCCACCAGGCCTGACAGGCACCACTGCACTGCACTGCACTGCACTGCACTGCTCGCACCTGCCACATTAACCACAAGCGCTTCACACCGTGGTCCATGCATCATCCGCACACCGCTCACAACAACTGCGCCAACAACCTCCCCCCCCTCCTCTCCCCTCCCCCCCTCCCCCTTCTTCTCTCCCCTCCAACATTTTTTCTTTCTTTCTTTCTTTTTCTAAGCTGTGTAACCCCCTGCCCTCGCATGTCTTCCTCCTCGCTTAACTGCCCTTTCCTGCCCTCCTCTCCCCTCGCATTCCCTCCCATGTCCTCCGCTCCCCTGGCCTGATCCCACCAGAACGTGTGTGTGACGGTGGCATGTCAGCCCATCAAGAAGATTCTTGACAAGAGGAGGAGAGAGTGAGGAGCAGGAGGGTGAGAGGATTGCTGACAATGCCAGTGGTGGTCTGAGCGAGGGTAGGGAGTGAGCTTTTTGCAGCACTGAAGGAAGGTGAAGCGAAGGTGGCGAGGTGAGGCAATGAGGGGCAGCATACCACAGCTACATTGTAATGAGCGATCATTCATTGCATCACAGTGCGGAGCATGCGTGTGCAGATGATATGGCACAAGGGAGTGTGGTATGAAGGAAAGATGCATGGGCAGGTGAGGTGGAGAAGAGACAAGGGGAGGTGCGGAGAGGGAGGTGCGAGATGGAGTGGGGGTGGCAGAGGCAGCAGCAAGTGGGGGTCATGGATGGAGGAGCGCCAGAGGAAGCATGGACGGATGAGGGTGGGAGTGAGAGGGACAGAGGGAATGAGACGGCTGCAGGGGACGAGAGAGCTTCACTGGATCCCGCGAATCCTCTCCCTCACCCTCACAGCGTCCCCCTCGTCCAATTAGCCGAGGACAGCTGGCGCGAGCGCACTGGTGCAGCTTGTCAGGATTGGGAGGAACAGGCAGTGCTGCTGGCAGAGGCAGCGGAGGTGGTAACCGGGTGTTACGGTTCCTACAACCTCGGAGGCGCAACAAGGGAAAGCTCTCCTACCGTATGTGGCTCTGATCTGGTGTTGAGGTGCTGCAAACAGGGAAAACGCTCGTACCATGCTTGTTGTGACATGCTCGTGTGGCTCTAAGGGATGCTGCATGTGACAGCATCACATGCTCACTGCATGTTGATGCTGCTTGATCTTTCTATTGAAGCTAGTGAGGTTGGAAGTGATTGGTTGTCACACTACCCATGCCTTGAGGCAGACATATCCGACGGAGGTGCTGCCTTGAATGAGTCATTTGCCCCCTAGGGAATCACGGTGTCTGCCTTGCAGGCAAGCATGGTTTACGAAAGTAC